GGAAAGAGTGCGTGATGCCAAACTGTAGTCTCTAAAACTTTACTTAGCGACAAAAACTAATATCTCCAGTAATTATTTATGAACGAATACATTGCCTTAACACTAAAAATGTAACGAAATTTCTTGATCCATTTTACTGGACAAATAAACATAATTTACTAGAGTACTCTGAAAAAAATAAAGGAGGTTTACAGAAGCCTCCGAAAAGGTTCTGTAAACCTCCTTTATTTTTTTCAGAGTATTGTTTGGTTAACATCAGCGCGTTCATCTTGGTCTATAATTGAATTTTCACTTGGGCAACTAGGTGGAGGGTCGAATAGCATCACAAAAAAAAGAAGATGCTCGCTTCACTATAGCTATTTTCGTAGTTTTCATCGTTTCATGTATTTCTTTTCATAAATATGCTTTAAAAATTAGCAGCCTACCGTAAAAAAGACTCATAAATCATTCAAACTGGTACTCAGTTTCACCTACCTGTGACTACAATTGGCGTTGTGATAGTTGGTCTAATGGGGTTTTTCGTAGTTTTTCTAGTAGTTCTTTTAGTGCTTTTTGTAGTAGGTAGTTTGGTGGTTCCTGTAGTTGCTTTTGTAATTATGGGCGTTGTAGTGGTTGTAGAAGCTGTAGCAGTTGTAGTAGTTGTTGCAGTATTGTCTACGCTGGTTGCTTCATTGGTGTTGGTTACGATAATTGACGTGGAAATATACGGCGTTAAGCTTAATTGTGTGGGACCGTGAATTGAAATATTGAATTCTCCGAAGTCTTCCGGAGAGAATGTTGTAACAACGAGGATCATGGATTGAGTCACCGTAAAAGTTGCTGTTAGTGGAAATTTGCATGGATAGCCACTGTCATGCTTATGTGCTGCTAGATTCGACTGTGAACTGCTTGGAATGAATGGCAGATTGTATAGATATCCGCAACTTTCCATATGACTGCCCCACACAAATGCGTAAGAGCCGCTAGTTGACGCCGTTACCTGTATTGCCATGAAATAGTAAAAGAATGTCTCCCCACCACATAGTCTCGAAAACATGGAACTGTTGCTCGTCAAGGCGCTTGAATAGCAGAGCTGCATCTCAGAGTTGATCGCTGAAAAACGAACAGAAAATGTTTCTGTAATTAGATTCGAATTTCTTTTTGAATGAATATGATAACATTCGATTTGTGGAACAACATTCCCTCGCCTGAAAATACTCATATGATGATCTTGGAATCATGTATTTTTCCACAATTATGTGTGATTTTTTGAGATGGAGTTTACATAATGAATTCCAAGAACTTTTGAGCATCAATGCTAACTATCAAAGCATTTACTCAGATCTATTCTCAAAGAAAATTCAGAATGCGAGTGGGTGTAGAGAAGATTGAGATCGACACCCATGCACCTAGACAATTGGCACGAATATTGAAAGCTGAATGAAACAATGTTTTTTGTTTTGTTTAGAAAAAAGTTTTTCCAATAGAATCTTATATACGGTAGCACTCGATTTTTAGTAACACTCCATGCGTATTACCGGAAAAATTCAACTTTTGCAAGAAGCTTGAGATTCTGTAAATTTGTGCAGTCTTTACTATCGAGGCAGCAATTCGCTATTGAAAACATAGAACACTTTTTTTTCTAACTGAATTAAGCAGCGGTCTTCAAGAATTATTACATGAAGTCACTCAATTATGTTCCAACCATAAAGTCTCATAAATGATACCTTGTAGAAAGGTTCGTAAGAGCTACCACGTTTCATTTTAGAGCTCAAGCTTTCTTAATGATGTATACAGTATTACTTGTAACATAATGATTGCTTATAAAACTTCGAACTCGAGTTGTTTTACTCAATTTTCAACACTTTTGCTAATGATGTATTTAGAAGCAGCATATTATGTGGGATCATTTCTTTCGATTTGTGATCAATGATCATAAAACCTACGTACACTTAACATATTATACACAGTAGGTTTTTAAGCGAAAATCTAGTCAGATATGTCTTATAGCAGCAAGATTTGTCGAATATCAAAACTATCTTAAATATTTATCTTCTCAAGAAAAGTTGCATTTACTCAGTTAATCTTCAATTGCTGCCAGCTAACTAAATCGAGAATAGAAACTCAATTCAGACTAGAACCCAAGCTATACATGTTATTCAAAAGATTTCTCGTACTTGCATTGCTTTTGAAAACGATAATCTTGATCTACATTTTGTCTCATTGTAATTAGCATTTGTATGTCAAGACAAAACAATTTTCTTGTAATTTTTACTAGAAATTCATAAAGTTCTCCTGCATATATCCTATTCTTTCACTCCTTGATCATACAAACAGTTCTCATCTAATCTAGTTCTATTTCTCACCTGCGTCACCGGGGATACGATGATATGGTCGTTGTACTTCACCATCTTCAATGCTTGTGTTGCAGAACCGACTGTTTGCATCTCGGTCACGAATAAAGACATCTTAATAGAATTAAATGGATTCCAAGTATTACAGCTATATTTTATTCAATGATTATAAAAATTCAAAGGGATCAAAATTGATTTTTAAACAAAATTTGATATTTTCTTAGCAACCTTGACTTCTTTTACGTAACAAATCAAATTTTCTTTGTATTAACCTTGTACTATTTCATTGATCTATATCTTTTGAAATGACTGATATAAACGCTTATTTTTTTTCATCCCATCTAACTCGAGAATACAGGCCAGTTGAAAATCCCCGTCTGTGCAATCATACGGAGTTCAAATTTACCCCTTAAGAATTGTAATACTTATACTTTTGATTTAAAGAAAAATACGATAGTCACCTGATGATTTCTCAATATAATTCTATTTAGTATTAATCTTCATAATATTCCTTTGTTTTGATGTTTTCATTTTCCTCTACTCTCTGACTTTCATCTAAATGTTCGATTGTAAAATGTTTATTTCATCATTCGGAGAAAATCGTTTCCATGTTTCGAATTTATATATTTCGTCTATGACTAATCCTAGAGTTACACAAATTTAAGATAGTATTCCATCGCTTACAAGAAACTACGTACTAAATGTTGGACATTTTTTGATTTTCAATAATGGAAGAAAAAAGATTTTTTCAATGAGATATCAAAACATTTGTCTCCTTCTTTAATTATAAATACTGTGACTTACCGTAGGCATCGATTTTTCGGCTATTCACTCGGCTTAAGAATAATAATACCAGCAGTAGTAAAACAGGATAAAACATGTTTCGTCGGCGTATCAGTATTTATCAGAAATGGTTATATTAAATAATTGATAGAAGTTTCTGCATCACATGTAATACTTTATACATATCATCTCCATACACAGTTTATGTATACCCTTTACGTCAACAACGTTTTCTTATTTTCTGTCATCGAAAACAAAATATGCCAAAACACAAATAATATGAAACGGACTAATTAGTATAGACTTCCCAATGGATATATCATGGTTATACTGTTATTGAGAAGTCCATAATATTTTCCCTTTTGACTGGTTATGTGTCATTTGGCTTATATACAATGTCAACGCCTTTTAGATGAGATAGCAGAACTCGTTATTAGCATTAGTAGTGTGGAAAAATCTTTTATTCTATTTCTTTCATACAATATATACATAGTATAAATGCTACATACAATAGTTATTTGAATATCTGTAATTTTCGTTTTAAGAGACTTTCATCCGGTCTCGTTAGTTTATGATGAATTTTCCTTACAATTCTTCGGGTAAAAACATTGTTGCTTTTTTTTTACCAATATCAACGTATTGTTCATGTTTTATTTGTGAACTCCTGGTCGCAACATAAGTATTTTGCTTCTTGCGGCAAGCATTGCTTTCAGATGATTGTAGGAGATGGAAATCAAAAAATTAGAAGAATGATATGCAAATTTCATTCGCTGATATTGCATTTCTTATTCTTTTACTTAAATAATCCTTGTTCAACTCTCGTACCCTGAAATTTACTGAAACAAAAGTAACTTAAAATTTTTATTTTTTCCAATGTTAAATAAATACCCATTTGGCGAGCGAAGAAGTTCATTCTCAAAATAATATTGTATATAGAATCAAATAATGTGAGTTTTTCCCGTCTAAATTTGTATCAATTGTTATAGTCGCTATGGAAACAATATGTGGAAGTTTATGATTATGCAGCCTATTTCATTAATTTTTCATGTACTATTTGAAACATAATGTGTTATAATCGATTATGGTGTAATTATCGGATTATTGACTACGTACGAAGTATATAAACTTAAGGGAAATAATAATTCGTCATGATGTCTTTTTTCAATTTTAATTTTCAAGGATCATAGTTTCTCCAGCTATAGTCATCTTATAAAAATACTCGAATAAATGTAATATATCATCGTACCAATACATGGCAGAACCATGAAAGTCAGCTCAATGCAATTGAATCCATGAAGCTAGTTGAATTGGATTGAATTAAATTGACTCTTATTTTGCGCTGAGTTACCCAGATCTGGTATATGATAGAAAAAGTAGCCGATTATATTGCTTCCCATGTAAATATTTTTTGAATAAAAACGCGTCTGATTCGCGTTTCGTTTGAGTTTAAATCGCAGCAATCGAACGCGGCTAGACGCAGCCTAGATGAAACATTTCTTGCGTCTTATCGCGATTTAAGAAAAATCTCGGTCAGACGCGGTTGCTAAATAGATCGCAATCAGCCGCGGTTCGATATAAAATCGCGTCTAAACGCAAGAAATGTTTCAATGGAGACGCGGTTCCAAACTAGTCGCGTTTCGATGCGTGTGACGCGATATTTTTTTAATTAAAAAATAATTGCAATCCGTCTCATGTTTGATCTGCAGCTAACATAGCCAAACGGAATGCTGAATTTTTGATGTATGTGAAATGATAGAAATGAGATAAGAACAAGTGAAGTTGTGATTGCGAAGCAAGTATACATACCGTGAAGCCACATGTGACCACAATCGTTGTCGAATGAAACTGAAAGTATATGTGAATCGTGGTTCAATGTCTTATTTACACGTGAATGTGTCAATAAATGTTCTCAATTCAGATAGTATATGAACTTTTCTAGCGCATATATGTGATCATTTGAAAAAATATGTATAATAAAAGAAACCGAGTATTCAATTTGCTTTTGTAAATTTCTTTAATTTTTTTTCTTTTGAAAAAATGGTTTTAGCATCTTTTTTTAAAAATTATACGTGGTTCTTCAGCTTATAGTATAGATTTTTCATAAACTATTATTGATCTATTACAGTTCATAAAAAATTGAATTTATTCTTTCTTTTTGTTTTTCTTGTTTAGCAAAAAGATATATGAAAAAAACATTTTAGCTATGATTACCGGAAATCAAAATCAAAATATTGATTGAGATATTTCTAAAGCTTTGATAAACTTGTTTAAGGCTGAAGAAAAATTAACAATAGAATCATATTTTATTTGAATGAAATCTTTCGATTTTGAAATTTTGAAAGCTATTTAGGTTTGTTCAATTAATGGGGATATTGAATTAATACAATAACACTACATTGGAAAATATCAAACAAATAAGTTGAAACACCAATGTCGTATATAGCGCTGATAAAGAAAAGAGTAAATCAATACTCTTAAAATTTACTATATGTTCTAGGAAAAAATAATCAATAGAAAGTATAAGGTCGAGTTCCGTAGCCGCAATAGATTGATCTTCACTTGTGTAGTCTGAAAACAAATGTGAAGACATGCAGCTTCTCAAAAGATATTGAGCATTTTACCACAGATGCTTTGTTTATTTGTATATTAAGCAAGTAGATCTCTGTACTAATCATTTCTTCATATTTCCGTGCTAAACTATGATAATAAAACGGTACATGGCTTACTGTGATTTTCCAGAACCAATTTTCTCTCTAAATTCTATGTTAAATACCTAGAATAAATTTTGAAAGTCATAGGCAGATGAAATTTCAATAACAAACGCCTCCAGGTGCGGCAGACGTTCTATTAAAACTGCGTGAAAGCGCGTTTCAAGGAAAATCACACGCAACTGCGCTTCTTTAGTTATTTTCTAACCGCATCTGCACGTGATTTACTTATAACCGCGTCTACACGCGTTTCGTGTTTACATGGGTAGACTCAGAAGAAATACAATTGGACAAGGTAAAACAATTTAAAATGTTTTGCCCGCAGTAATAATAAAAATAGTTAATCAAGAAAAAGATCAGAGATTGGTAGAAATAATTAAAACACATCATAGAGTGTGCATATAATTTTCTCTGAGAATATTTTAAAGTGTTTCAAATTCATTCTTGTCCTAGTAGTAGAAATAATTATCAAATAGTTGAAAACATTGTTTTATGTCAAGAAAATTCTTTATTTTGATATTAAATTAAAGTTACTGTTCGATGTGATTCATTGTGTTCTACAATCGTGTTCTCTTTGATAATCTTCAGCAGTTTTTTTTTACGTATTGAATTTTCATCAATATCATTTTCTTGCATAAATATAAATTTTATGTATTCGTTTGTGAGAGTTTGAGTAATTTTCGATTCGAAAAAATGAAATTCAGTCAAACTATGAAAACAACGGATTAGATACAATATAAAATACAAGAACCGATATTTTCATTATGTTTTGATTTTTCGGATAGTACAGTCGTGAATTAGATTGAATTGAAAATTTTGATAGTTCTTCATTCTATATGCAGACAAGTTAAACTATCTTGAAAGAGCGATTCCTTTACGAAGTTCGGGTTTCTTGGTTATTTTATTGAAATCTAAGGTGTTTAGATTTTGAAACCTTTGTTATTTTTTCTTTGATTCTTTTCCTTACACATAACTATGACTCGTAAATATATTGTTCACTGAATTGTGATGTTAATTCAAATGTTTTTATACATTGTTAAACAAATAAACATAAATTATGATTATTTCAACTGAAAACAATAATTGCTGAGCTTTGTTTACTCAATATTTCCATCACTATCATCATATTTTTCAGTTCGCCATGCATGTGATCATATTCGACCTTTCATTTTTTTTTAATAAAAGCTTCAATTGATTTTAACAATTGTTCTTTGAACATATGTATGACTTTGATATAAATTTTTTAACTAAAATGAATCGAAGAAAACTTCCGTTGAATTCAACTACAAGCAAATGATGATCGTGGTTCATTGTTGTATCTTTTTCTCTTTTCAATCTACGTTGATTATTATTTTTAGTTGCAGTACTTGAACTTCGAAAACAACCATAAGAAATCCATTGGAAATAAAAAAAACTGCGCGAGAAGAATTAGCTATAGCAGAAGAAAATGACGAACCGATTGAAGGAAATCGTCTTTGTTGAGGCCATTGAAATTAATTTGATTTTTATAACAATTAATTGTTTTTCAAAGGATTTATTTTTTACTCCTGTTGATAATGATTTTCTTTTAGCTACAGTCGAGCTTGTCTTTCAGCGATAGCTGGCTTTCTTATTTTCAAAAATATATACAGATCAATGCATATATTTTGTCTTAGTAATATACACCTATAGATGAGATGCTTTCTTAGATTATAAAAAATGATCTCAATCATAGAGAATACCTAGGTCGATGATTCTGGACTCCAAAACCTACGGGAAACGGAAGAAAACGACGCAATTTCCCGATACTTCCAATTATTTCCAAGTCCATTCCAAGCGAAAACGGGCCGGAAAACTATCCGGAAAGTGGAAGCAGTATTCCGTTTGGAAATCACCATATTGTAACCGGAATATTCCGCACTATTCCCGCCACCGTCACCATTGAGAAAAATTCCCGGAACCGATCCGCGATCAAAATGAATACAAACGGAACACGCGACGGAACTAACGAAATCCGACCGATTCCAACTGGGAAAATTCCGGCCGTTTCAGTCTTCCTGAAATCGTGCGCAGATTTCCCGGCACCGCCACACCTCGGCATCCTGGATAGTCGCGCCCGCAAAAAAGTAAATTTCCAGCCAGCTTCTCTAATGTCAATAATCTCACGCACTGCTTCAAAATCATTCACTATACCATAGCAGACGCTAACAGATCCCAACCTGACTACTATAAACTTCAGGTATTTCGAAGACTTCTTCCTCGAAATCAACGGAGAAAGGCCCTTGAAAGTCTTTTAAATTCATTACCGTCCGTTTGAGGGAATAGCTGTCTAATTCGAGTTCGAATATAAATGGAGAAAAAGTTAAACTAAAACTAAAACTAAAACTAAATGTAGGAATAGATTTAGTTTTAGTTTAACTTTTCGATATATGCGACATATTAATACATATATACCCTTCACTCGCACCCACATTTGAGCACTCCTCCATAGTATCCATCACCCACACCCATATTTCACACGACTTGAGCAATTATTTCACGACCTGTCTTCGGAAGAACTTCAAGATATCTCCTAGTTTCGAAAATTGTTTCAACTTTTCTGATCGAGACAACGTGCCACTATTCTACACGTCTGCAAGGTCTGTAGTCTTATAATCACAACAGATTTTTAACCGAGCGGTTAGTCGCCTCCACTAGTTTTGTTGTATATATGCGGTGAACGTGATCCTTTTAAACACTGCATGATTGATTGAAAGCTTCGCTTCATTATATAATTATTAGATGAAAACAAAGAGAATTTTCAGGAAACCCGAAAACAACTGTTATGGGACTATAATTTAATTCAGTTTCATCTACATATGAAAAAAATTACTCACAATTTTGAGAAGAATAAGACAAGATTCCTGAGTACTTGCACAGTTTGCGAACGTTCGTAGATGCGCTAATCTAGAATTCTTCGTGCTACAATAAAAGTTGACATATCAAGTATAAACTGAAGAGTTTGAAAAAAGCCTTCAACGACTTAGTGTTTATACACAAAATACAGACATGCAGTTATGTTCAACTGTTTGTTGAAAAGGACCTTAGTGCAGCATTCTCCAAAACCATGTTTGTTTAAATAATAAAATTTTCGTACACAATGAAACAAGGACATATCCAGGTTAGCAGCTAGTCGCTCGTCGGCGACCCTCTGGGGCGCCAATCACGAATAACCGTTGCCAAATTAATAATCAACTTCACCGCAAGATGCCTATAGCCGGTTCGTAATAAAATCCAATATAAGCATACGATATATATATATACCACTATTAACATCATCGAATGATACCCTATCACAAAAATACGTTGATCTAAACAACTCCTAATGCATTATAAACTAGCTTGAACTACGAAAGATTACTAAGAATTTAATATTCGATCCAGCGATAGCCGCTACCTTATTTGAATCAACTTAATTTATTTGTTTAGGATCATAACCACTAATAACGTCGTTGTGGTACTCCTAAACGCTTTCGAAATACCAGTCACTCATCAGTTGCTGGTCACTCAGTTTTAATTTTTCAAAAAGCTCATGTGTTCGTTCTGTGCAACCCTCTTTGTTTATCAAAACGATGACAAAATGTTTTTGAAAAACTACACTTAAACTCGAGTGACTCCGCGTCAAAAACTTTCGGTCAAACTTTAAACGAAGTCATTTTTTTCCTAAAAAACTCTCTTTCTCTCCCTAAAAAGGTAAAAAGCAAAACCTCAAACATCTGACCTCCGATTCGATTCCCTCGAGTCCGACAGCATCTGATCAAACTTTACAAGGAAAACTATTTTCTCGAAAAAATACTTTTTTCACTAAAAAGTTGAGGATCATAAATTCTGAAAATCTCACATCAGATTAGACTTTCCCGAGGGTGTGGGTGTGATGAAAGGCGGACATACGCGAGTCTGCACACACACAAACACAACATGGCAAGTGTGGGTACTGGGAAAGGCGAACAACGGGTCTACCCACACCCACACCTACACCCTAAGTTATTTTTTTTTGTATATTATTTCTAGTATTATGAAAGTCTTTTTGATCTTGTAAAGACTACTTTTTTCTAAATGTATTGACTGAAAGAAATAAAAAAAACAAAAAAAATCAGTTGGTAATTTGCGCTAAATTAAATAAAATGAAGTTTCCGGTGGCGACATCCGTTGGTTACCTAGGAAACGGGAATATTGTTAATTTTAAATGGCAATCACTTGTAGACTTCCATAAATTGACACGCACAAAAAAAGAAACACGTTTTATTGAACAATGCATGTAAGTAGATAAAAAAAACTAATTATAATAAAAATTTTCTTGTATTGTTTGTAGAATTTAAATATTCCAAAGCCAACTATTCTTGTCTGGTATGTAGAAAAAAAAATCCGCGCTCTTTTTATTACTGTTATTTTTAGGACTGATCTGTCTCAAGATCAAGTAGCAAAATTAGAAGAATTAAATGATCCAGAAACTATCAATAAGTATAATTATTAATTAAAATATATTCTAAACGAAATAACTAAATCGTTCTTTCAGTTTTTTTATAAAAGTTTTCAATCTTGAACCAAATACTAAACGTACAACGATTCTGTGCGATTTATATTATTATGCGTTAAATTTTGCTCGTACAAATAAATTTAATCATGAACAAATTTCAACATTTATAAGTATTCTTAAACGAGTTCATGAAATGTGTATTCGTATGTCTTCTAATTAATATTACAAAAAAAATAATATCTATTACTGGACTAATTTTAGAAACACCATTTACAAATATGGATGAAACGTATAAATCTTTCAAAGCACTTATTTTAAAACATTCCTTATCTGTTAGTATTTATATGTATCAGTTTAATTGTTTTCAAAATATTTTTATTTTCAATGTTCTAGAGACCACCCTATAATTTACGTATATTTACTGCTGATACAACTAAAAAAGTAACTGATTATATTGTCGATACGTATTTTCGTCATTATAAAATGTATAAATATATTTTTACTGCAACGGTTGGTAGATTTTCATTCAATAGCATTAATATTGAATCAGTTTATTATATTTAGATTGATTTCAATTTGAAATTTACTTTTGATGGAATGACTCGTGATTCATTGAAGAAACTAGAAGAACATGGAATAACAATAACAACAGATGATACCAATACAGTTAAAGATCATGAAGAAACACAAAGTCAAAACGACGAAAGTACGATGAGAGAAAAATTGTATCGAACAAATATTTTCATTTTTTATAGAACATGTGGAGAATTCTGAATTACTCGAAGTTCGTAAACTAATTCAAGCGATGGTAAAAGAAGAAATTCAAAAAATACAAAGTACTACCACTGATGACGCTAACGGATTGCGTCCACCAACAGACAAACGCCAACCAGTTAAATCAAGTAGTACAAAAACTTCTAAATCACAAGCACCAAAATAAAACATGGCAGTATGAGTAACTGGAAGGAGACTTTCTTTTTATATATTTTTCTCCATTGCTGCATTATCAATAATAACTTTGAGTAAATGATTGTGATTTTGTCGAGCGATCATCATCACTTGCTGGTGAAATATAAATTGATTCGAACAAATCAGAAAAAATCTCATCATCATTCGATTGTTGACAAGGAAATTTCATATCCATTGGCAGAGTAACACGAGGAATAGTGTCATCTTCGCCGTAAACAGCCAGACCTCTAAAAGAGATTGGTTTTAAGGAAAACTCTAAATTTACCCAAAGATCCCGCTTCTGCTGATATTAAAAATAATCTATTCTCGCCCGTATCATTCAATACAGATCTTGTTTATACGTTTCACAACTTATTGAAAATTCTCGTAACCTAGTTTCTTTTCCACAGTAGTCATCGAGCAGAAGTGTATCAGTATCGAATTTTCCTGTGTGATATTCAGCAGTTACTACATTGCTACTTGCAACCATGAAACAGTTGTACTGCAGTATAAATTAACTTACGGAACACATTTATTGATTGTTTTATTAATATATTTGAGGATCGGTTGTCTTTGTTTAGCAAGAAAATTGAAACGACGTTGCATTAATGTTTTAAAACGTTTCTTTTTCATTGCTTTTTGTTTATTAATACAAGCTATGGTAAACATACGAAATTCCGAGTAATCAAGTGCATCATCGCCACTTATATCAAAATCTTCAAATATAATACGAATATCTCTATTGTCAAGATTAAATAAAAAGCCAAGACATTGAAATTCTTCAACACTAATTGTGCCTGAACTATCTTCATCGAGTAATTCAAAAACAGTTTTAGAATGAGCATGCATAAATTCTTTTTCTTTTTTATCCTATATAAACAAAAAAAAAGAAGTAGTGATTTCATCAAGTTCTGTATACTTTATTGGCTACGAGTAAACTGATAAGAAGAAAAAATTCTTCTAATTCCATAGCACCAGATTGATCAAGATCTATTTATCAAAAATAAATATTTACTAGATACCTTTTTCATTTTAATGACTTTTCGATTGCTCGTATACCTAATTTATAAATAATAGTTGATATTTGATTTTTATTTATATTTGTAAGATATATAAGTAATGCTCGAATTTGATATTCTTCAAGTCGATTAGTATTATCAATATCAAGTAAACTAAAAAGAATTGAGCAAAGTTTCATTGTAGTTATTGTAATCGACCAAGTGGGTGGTATCAGATGTATATAATCGAGAATACTTGAATTAAAATGAAGATGCATCGTAGTTTGATTTGAAGTTATTTCGCGCAAAATTTCTTTTTTTCTTCTCTTTACAATCTGATGCGTCAACGAATTTGTTGAACGCCTCAGAGTTCATGACAAGAAGCAAATATGAGGTCAATGATACTTCTTGCACGACACAAGAATATTCAAAAGAGGATCATTTATGATTATCGAGTTCAATTTTGTCCTATTTTATAGTATGAGATGATAAGAAATCTTGATTATGATTTTATTTAAAAACGACAAAGAAAATTATCCGAGTAATAAATCAAGAGCTGCTTTTAAATCCCAATTGCTCGCTTCGAGTGCTTGCCGATTAGCTGCTTCATCAGTCAGACCCATAGCTTGCATTTGATCTAGTAGTGCTTGTGCATTTGCTGGATCATTTGAAGTACTACTATCCATTGTTGTTATTGGAGTTGGCGGATTCGTTTCTGATGTTGTTGTAGTTCTTTGTAGAACACTTCTTAATTGATCCATACTAATGACATTACGACGATTCGATACTCTTGGTGTTTGTTGAAGTGGAATATTCGATGGACGAGATGCACTTGTAGTCGATCGATTTGTTTGTTCAAGTGCACGAAAAAAATCTTCATTCGTTATACGACGAGGCATTACATTAAATGCTGGTTGACGTGGTGCTGCGGGTTCAATTAAATGAGGACTACCATTTAAGAAGTAAGCAGCTAAATAGAAGCATGAAAATCATACGAATTCTATTGAAATACAAAAAAAAGAATAAACTACCAGGTGATAATTGTACGTCCGTTGGATTTGATAAATTACTGGTTGATGTCCATTCTTTAACTACTTGACTAACGGCTTTATATAAAAATGGATTAGCTTCAACAAGTTCCGTAAGACGTTTAACATTACAATTTTGACAGAAAAGTATTGAATCTTCGCATAGACCTAAACGGCAAAGCGAAAGTGGTTTTCTAATATATGTATTCAAACGATTTTGAAAAAGAAACAGTAGTCTAGTAAGTTTTATTCAACCATGAAAAATAAATAATAGTAGCATTTGAAATTACCTAATGCACTTGAATCAAGTAATAATTCAGGTAGAACTTGAGTAATTTTTCGCCAAAACTCTGGTGTTTTCATAAGCCAATAGAGCTAATTTAATTAAAAAGAAAAAGAAATATAGATATTATTCATTCGCCGTTTCTTTTGTTTTCTATTACTCGATGAAATTCATTTGGTGTAGCTGATTTTTCGATTGTTTTCGAACTTTGATGAAGTTCACTTTTACTTGGCGATCCTATTGATGAAACGAAAAAGAAATAAAAATTAGAACGTCGTTTTTTATTTTGCCTTGATAAAATAATTTACCAGCTGAACTTATCATGAAGGTCTCAGTAGGCAGTTTAACTTTTGGTACAATTAATAAGTTATCTTCATTGTCAATTTCATAATCATTTAGATTTTTATCATCACCAATTAATTGTACACCTTGACAATATACATCTGTATGCATATGTTCAATGAAGAAGATAAAAAAGACATTCTTTTAAATTCAATAAACATATTTGAACCTACCAAAAGAACTATCTGATAATGAAAGTATCTGAGCTATTTGTGATTTTAATTTATTTATTGAACATTCTTCAGTATTGAATTTACTCGACATATCAATCGCGCTATTACTTTTATTGTTCATGGTTGAATCAAATGGTAACAAATTGAATGTATACATTGCCGTTCTTTGTTGTTTTTTTTCTGGTCTTGTACTCTACAATTAAATGAGTTGTTCATGAGAATTGAGTGTGACCTGTCATCACATTTTTAATTTGATCACACTGTTCAATCTTTCTCTCATTAATTCGAATTACAGTGTGGCAAAATGAATTTCTTGTCGTGCTCTCCGTTTTTCTTTTACTATGAACATGAACACAAAAAAGAATAAGAAGAACAAATTAATATCTATCAAGGATGTCTATATACACACGAAGAAATAAAAGAACAATCTTTTGTTGTGAGACGTTCTTATCTGTACACTTGATCCAGTCATGTACGATATAAAATTGTGCAGATCTCAAGACAAGACGAGACAAGAGACACTCAATCGTGCTATATACTTGTATAGGTTTGTTAAGTAATATGAGATTTTTTCTTTCTCTCTTAAAAATCCTCTTGAATTTAAGCGCGTTAATGGATTCGAGTTGTTACAAGAAGAGATACACTCTACTATTCTTTTCTATATATGCCTATAGTGCATCTATACTATTCTCTCTTCAATGTCAATAGAAGCTATCAAGCGGTAGTTATATGTATATTGTCGGTCATGCTTTTGTATCTATGTCTACCCTAAAAGCATTCATCATCATCATCTAAGCTTACGACTTGTATTTCCGACATTACTCTCTTTGTTATACATATACACACCGAAAGATGATTATCTAAAATTCCCTCATGTAATGAAAATTGTTCTGTTCAAATCAAGTCTGTAGAGATTTACATATCTAGATATATATATTGTATGTATGCATGCGTACAGTTACTCTCGAAAAATGAAAAGGTGAAGTTGTTTGTAAGCAAGAATCTCAATGAGCATATGTATATTATATATATGTGTGTGAAAGAAACACACTCACACATATCTTTATACGGATGGACATTTTTTCACATCATGTATATCGTCATTTGACACTGTCGAGATCAATATCCGGCTATTTAAAGTATATATTTGTCTTCATTCAGTAAGACGTAACAAAATTCCGACTTCGCACTGTTTTATTTTCTTTACGTAAATGTGAGTTAAATTAGAGAATGACAACATAGAAATAAGTATATGAAGCAAAAAAAAAACGAAGAAGCTGTCTTAATGTCCTTATTCAATAAATGTGTACACAAATCGGTACCAACAATGAGCTCAGCTGGACGGCTCATCGTCAAGTCTGTTTGCTGCCAATCATATTTGTCATTGTTATATCTCTTACATGATACTGATATATGTATATATTTATCGATTGACAGTAGTACTATCCCATGACGATATATGTTTACAACAAAAATACATGTGAGATAATCATTTTGCACCCCTACTGTCTGTTATATCGTGTCTTCACTTCCTTATGCGCGCTTCGTCATTGCCACCCTGTCGCTAATAGGAGTAAATGCGTGAGTTAAAAAATAGACAAGAAGAAGAAGAAATGAATGAATGAATGACGATAACATGGGATGATCTTCTTACGCAATTCTCAAGCGTGTATACTTGGACTCTCATATACACTAATGATCATAATCTTGTACTCTATTCTAACAGACAACGATTCACTAATGATGATTTTGTGATAGTCGTGATGTCAGGTAGTGAACACAATTTCTTTCGTGATGTAATTCATTTTGTACGGTTTCAATTAATTCTCTTATCGCAGTCGCCGCCACACACTACTAAGAAGTTGAAATAATAACAACCCACATTTCATCTAACGACTGGCTGAGGACGTTCTGATTTTCTTTCTGTCTCTTCACTCTATATATACGTACATACATAGGTATACATGTGTAACTCTCCAGGTAACCTAATCTGCTACTCCTTCTTCCATATGGCGGTACACACGCGCGATAATCGTTTTGAAAGTAGCTTTTTAAATTGGTGACTAAAAGCGGCATCAGATTAACATACAAAACAAAATGAATACTTTTCAAATAACCTGATGATCAATTATGAAAATGTATATTTTCAAGTGTGAATATGCTTATTTGTTAGATAAACAGATTCATTTTTTTTTTCTTAAATTACTGTTCGTTCACATTATATTCATTTTTCATGAGATACACAAAAAAAGAGAAAGAGAGAGAGAGAAATGCTTAAACATATAAATACAACAATGAAGAAGAAAAAAAACAATAGGTGATTATATCTCATCATCATCTCGTTGAGGGCAAAAACTTGAATCAAAATGATGATCAATTAATTGAACATGAGTCCTTTTTTTTCTTTTTAACCATACATTAAGTACAGAAGCAAGTGTTCTTTGTTCAATATCAAATTGTGGCCACAATGAACGAAATAAAAATCCATGTATAGAACATGCTGGCGCAAATATTGATATTCGATTACTTGATTGACGAAGATTTTCAATAAGTTTAAGGGAAAAATCATTCGAATGAGGATTTAATTTATCTAAATGCAACTGTGTTTGATCAAATAATGATTGTATAACTAATATGGATACACGCGATGGAAATAAACGTATAGCTTCACTGCCAAGAAAACATTTATATTGAGGTTTCAATTGACATGACGAAGGTATTTGTGTATTCCAATAGACCATTGCTTCATTTATTTTTGATATACCATTAATGCTACCAGGATAATCAATAAACCAACCAGAATCAATAATAACTCGAAGATCAATATGTGTGGGAAATTGTTGTAATAAATTGGGTAAGTTTAATAAAAGACCCAGACCACCGGCTGAAAAACCTGTAAAAATGATTTGTTTTGCTTTTTGGAAATTTTTATCAATTTTTAAATCATCGAATATTGCATGAAAGATATCAGAACCGTGTGAATGTGTTTTATTTGATGAACCTGACCATAGATCAGATGAACAATAGGGTACATAGATAATATTATATTGTTTTAATGATGAAAATATTCCTATGAAAGATTTTTTTTCATTTAAATTGTTCGATGTCATTAAATTAGGTGAATACAATCGACGAAGATTACATGATTCTTTTGAATAGCAAAACCAACCACCATCGAAATAGATTAACCAATATGAATTATTATTATTATTAGCTAAACGTATATAATACGAAGCAATACTATCATCCATACAACGTGCATGTGAATAATTCAATAATGATTTACGATAGAAATTCTTTTGAAATGATGATTTTAAAAAAGAAGAATCTGTTGTTGTTGTTTTTGTTGAGGTTGATGAAATAGAAGTTGTTTCACGATGATAAATTAGTGTTAAAAATAATAAACTTGGTATAGTTAAACAAAGAAATAATATTGCAAGTCCAACTTCAATATGATACGATTTATGAGTTGAATTTATTTTGATTAATTCGGGACTAGGCGTGGGTGAATACGATAATGGTGAAGATGATTCTGACGACGTCATCATTAAATTGTATGAGTGTATGAACAACTAATTTTAACTTTACACCTTCATTGTGTTGCTCGTTATACACTTTGCTTGCCTTTTTTCCTTTTGCTATGTATTAGCGAGCATACATACATACAGAGAGAGAGAGAGAGGGGAGAGAAGAAATGCAAAGAAGAAAAAAAGAAGAGAGAGAGAGAGAGAGCGAAAAAGAAAAACGACTAAAGAGAATAGAAGAGAATATGAAACGCATGTCTACATATGTATATAACAAAATGATTATTGAACTCCGATGAACGAAAAAAAAAAGTGACAATCTCTACACCTGAATAAGAATTTGATTCCTGCTGTGAGTAAATGAATTTACTCAATGAAAATTTGTCAAAATGAACAGTCATTCGATCATCAACATCACGGCATGATAGGCGAAGTGACAAAATCTATACTTTAAACATTTTTTTTATACATAAGCACATGCAGATGGTAAAATTTAAATAAATCAACAAGTACAAGAGTGAGCTTCCCTGTTGAGATAAGAAATTATTTCTATTAGTCTGATTGTGATTTACTCTTTATTGTTAAGTTCGTCACATATGCTTACGTCTGTCCATAGCAGTGCGTATGTTCGGCTACTGTCACTTGAGCAAATTGCATTGTCAATCAAAGACTTATTCAAATGGTTTTTCATCTCTATTCAGACTAATAACAGACATCATTATATCGACAATAACAGATAGCAATCTGTTTCTATGCATGATATGATTACTAATTCTAAAATATGGTCGGTACATATCGTTTGATCTACTTGAAAAAATCTCGTTGGTATATACATATATAACCTGTTCATTTATCTTTCGATTCAACAGTAAATCTAATTGCTGAACGAAAAAAAAACAAACCGATCCGTTTTATATGGCGAAATGACATTCGATAGATGATAAGAATAGAGAGATATGAGATGATCCAGAAAAATAACACGAACAAAACAAATCAATTAATCGTTTATAATCTAGGCGGTGGCGGCGGCGGCGGCAATTATTTTCTAATGTAAAAGCACATACGCGTGAACAAATCGATATTGATATTGATACTACTAGTAGTAAGACTTACTTGACTATCGATGATTGAGCAGAGCGAAATGAAAAGATCTAGAGCAAAAAAATTTATACAGTAAAATTAATAGCAACACTTGATTTTTCAATAAACACTTATACGCAAGAGATTTCAATTTCATTTTCTAGTATGTAAACTTGAACGACGAAAAAAAAATGTTGCCAAATAATCACTGCAAGTTCTTTATTTAAACAAAAAAAGAAAGAATAGTATTTCGAAATTTAATCACCTTGAAAAATCTTGAGTCGTATTTATAAATAATAAAATTCGTCCTTCACATGCTATATATAGCTTACAGCAAAGAAAAATTTATTTTCGTTTTTATTTATTTTTCTCTTTATAAATATCAACATTACAAAAGATACTTTTTAATTGTCTTTTCTCTAGACATTCTCTAGAATTCACTACTAGATGATCTTTTATTCACGTTGATTAATGAATTACATGATCATTCTGCTTTCTATGTTCAGGGAATAGCCGCATTCGAATTATTCTAAATATCAATACAATAGGGAAAATATATAGATTATTATTTATTATCTAATTGGAATATATACAGAGAAATACTATAGTAGTAAAAAATAAACGAAACAAATAAACAAAACAGCTGATGGGTAAACGTAAACCAATCGTGTTAATTGTCTATAGATAGCGTCCGATACTCTTAGTTTCGTATTTTTGTTTTATGATCAGGCAATACTATTAGATTATGCCAATTATAGTCATTATGGAATAGGAACATGAGTTCATTTTTAGGAATTTCTTCTCGAGGATTGAATAGTAATAATAGTGATTGTAGATCGAGTGCATCATTTTGAAATAATTGTGATTCATATAATATTAACTACACGAGAAAAAAAATTGTATGACACTCAACAAAGAAAAAATATTTTTGTAAATTTTACTTGACCGATTTCATTGACTGGTCGTTGTATAATTTTATGTAAATCATGAAGATTTTCTACAGGTCGTTTTAAATCATGTTGTTGAGATTGAAGAATTTGATCCGCTCCGAAATGATCAGCTTTAACTATTGAGGGAAGTGCCACATGAAATTAATCACTTTGAAATTTCGACTATAGACTAGACATCAGGCCGAACTACTAGATTTTTACAGTATCTTGTTAAAATGAATAGCATGGTTTTTCATCAAATAGATTCATTCTTGAATTTCAATTTAATACTGTGCATAGAGAGAAAGGGGGAGTGAGGAAAATCTCAATTGGAATAATTTATAATGAAAGTTTCAAGTGGAACTTCAAAAATTAATTTTTTTCTAGTAGAATTGCGCCACTAACCTATCAAAATACGATCATTATGCAACAATAAGTTAATAGTATGAACTCTTTCAAGTCTTTGTGATGTATATAGTCTCGACTCAATAGCGTTTTATCAGTTAGGGGACTTCCTTCATTAGATCAATAGAAAAGTACGATGAAACCTAATCGATTTACTTGCTGTTTGATTTTTTATAACGCACAGTTCACGATCAACTGATAGAAATATATTAGTTAACTGAGGAATAGTTTCATCGTTAGAAATTCTTCGTAAACTTTCATATATATTAAAAATCAATGCACCAGGAGTACTATTAAAAGTACGAATGGCATTTGGAAATGGTGGCGGTAGATTTTGATATGTTTTCAGATCAGATGATGTTATTTTATCAATGAGAACAAAAAATGTTGAAGATGGAACAAAAGAATCCAACGGTTCTTCTTTAATTTCAATATTAGTTTTATCTGTACATAAATGAAGTTTTATGTAAAAAGAATTATAAAAACGAAAAGCGCAAGCAATGATCCTACTGATATGTACATTTGATGTACTAAATTTTGTTAGTGATTCTTGAGCTTGTTGTTTGAATGTTTCTAAATATGTTCGTTTATGTTTCTTTGTTTCGTGTGACGTTTGATAAGAAGGTATCGATGGTTGAATGAATGCTTCATATTCTAATTGTCCGGCAGCATTTAAATTCATCTGAAATTGATGATATTTTTCAATTGTATGTAATATTGGGCGTTGATTTGCCCATGAGACAATGTCTGCTAATGGTTTATGAGTAAATTTCGAAAAAATCTCAAATAACGTGACTAGAATAGAATTAGTTTCAGTAATCGGCAGTACTAATGTTTCATTTGGATTCATCCGATAGAAATAAATTTGATTACATCCCATCGTCGATAGAAGATAAGCTAATTCAAAAGCAAATATATCAGGACCAATGAGTTTGATTGATGAATATGATGGAAGATATTGAAAAATAGTATGAAATACATTAAGACGAAGACTACGATTGAATTCATGATTAGACGACTGAACATAGGTGATATATATTGAATTACTGTCATGATCGAATATAGACATATCTGTCGGTGATGATGAACGAAAATATGATTGCCATGGCGTTTTCATTGCTAATGTAAAATCATCCATATTAAGCAATCGTTCAATTGAATCATTATGAACATAATTCAATAGATTTTCTTTTAAATTTTCGTCGTTATCAATCGAATAATTGGATAATTCGAATTGAATTTGACGCTGTTTTAACAAAATCAAATAATATTTCTGTACACGTTCTGTCGATAATTTGATATATGAATACAGAAGTTGTTTGTTCATTTTTATACTTTGTATGTTTATACCAAACTTTTTTGAATCATTCGATTGCAGCATTCGACATTGTTTTAATAGATTGATTAAACACAAAAGACTAACACTTTGCCATTGTACATCAATCGATAGAGAAGATTTTTGCTCGATAAGATGAACGTCTGGATAGCATTCGGATTTTTTAGATAGTGAATAAGTCAATCGTTCAGCTAAAATAACACCTAATGGAGTGAAGCCAAAGATTTTTATGGGATTCATCGACAAAAGGAAAACTGATAGAATTTTATGTACAGAATAGGATGAAACTAATCAAAGCATAGATCTATAAACACCCGCAAAATAAATAAAGAATACAAGATTAGAAATACGAAATATTTGATAAGCACTATTGACACAGAAAGTATTCATGTAGAATAGTGTTACAAGAAATGGATGCCAGTAAACATCTTTAGTCAATCAATTGATTGAACAAAATCAATTGGAGATACGTCAGCACTATTGTATTTGTTTTCTACAACAATAGTTTCATGTAGTAATAACTTTATTGAACTTGTAGATTTGAGTGCATTTGATATTAAAGTTTTCAATTGTTTCTTTTTATTCCTTTGTCGGACTTACTTGGATATCTAAAAGTTGAGCAAGAGGCTTGTCAGAGGCGAGAGATTATCTTCTCTATACTGAGACTGATCTCATTTATGTAGCTAAATTTCATTGTATGTTTCTCTTTTCTTTGACTACCCTTTATTTTCTTCAAAGAAAATCGAGATATCTCAAAAAACAATAAAAAAACTATAAAAAAAAAAACTTTCAAAATCATAATTGAAGATCATAAAGATTTTCAATAAAACCATAACAAGCTGAACGAATAAACCACATGAATAATTCTTGTGGTGCATCGAGTACCAAAACAAAGTCACCATATCTTCCTAATCTATCCCCTATTCGTGTTCAAACATACCACATGGTATCTTGAATAGTTGGATCTAATTGAATAAGTCTTGTTTCTACTTCTTGTAATGTAACTGAACCCATACCATCAACTAGATCATCATCGTCAAAATCTCTGCGAAAAAAAAATAGATTCTTTTGTTCGAATGAAGGATCAAACAAACAAAAATGTTTACCCTGCTATACTACTGCGTCGATCATTTTCATAACTTTCAGCATCACGTGATTGATATGCAGCTAAATGTGCATAATGAACCGGTGCTGGTACAGATACAGCTTTTGTACAACGTACATCCGAATGACACAGATAATAAGTTAATGATTGTATTTCATCTGATGAAAAGCCAATTTCATCATATAAAACATGATACAGAATTGGTCGTGATGTACCTTTGAGAATAGAAAAAATGATACAAAAAAATAAATAAGTTTTATTTTTCTTAATATTTAACATACCTTGAATAGCAGCATGACTGTTCAAATAAAAATCGAAACCTTGTGGATGAACAATATCCGTATCGACAACTGTACCTATAAAATATCAACATAGCACAAATTTTCTCTTCTCTTTCATAGGACTAATCTACCAGGTTGTACATTGCTCATCATTGTTGAATTCGAATTTGATTCTGGAATAAAAAAACGTGTATTATGACGTTTTTTTACAATAATAAATGTAATTTTTGGTAATGGATTGTTCATGTAAAGAGCTAAAATAATGAAACATAAAGTGTTCAACCGATTTTCTGACGTTTGAAATGGTTCATATTTTCTATATTTAGAATTAAGACGAAAGCAACTCTTAGTTACTAGCCGACGGTTTATTTTATTCATTCTCATCCTTTCATTAAAAACAAAAAATTTTACCTTTACAAGCATTTTGTAATGCACGTAATTCATTATCAAGTACTTTTTGAAAATGTCCATCATCGACACCTGATAAAAAACCGCAATAATCCATTAAAAATAATCCACACAAATAAAAACTTACCGTCGCGATAAAATACAATTTTATTTGGAAAACAACAATTTTTTTGTGCAAATAATTTTAATAAATCTGTTGCCATTTGATATAAATCTTTAATAATTTCCAATGAAATTCTTCCGCGCGCTGGATACTGTTCACTAACACGTGATGCATATTGTGTACCTAAATGAGTTTTCTATAATTTCTCAAAATCGAAAAATACAAAACAAACTAGTCGAATCAATCGATCCAATAACAGCAGCAATTGATGGTTTATCTCTTGAACATGTTGTATGTGTTACATCAGCTCCGAAAAACATAAAAATATCATCTTTGGTTGAAGACGACGTTAAAGCACGAGCTAATGATACCATGCCATTAATACCGCCAAGTTTTGCATTGAATTTTTGTACAAGATTTTGCAAATACTAATAATGATGATGTGTTTAAAAATATTCAAAATAGACCAAAACAAAAAAGAACGATTCTCATACCATATCAAGTTTATTGATATTTTTTGCAATAGCAACAAAATCTGTACATCTAAAAGAGAGACCGGTTTAGGAAATATAGTAGGCAGTATTAATTAGCAGCGTTCATATGGAAATATTTCCATGACGGAGATACTCGATATTTGCAATAAGAAAAATATTCTAAAAATTCTCAAATAGAATCGATGTATCTTATTTATATTATGATCTCATGTGACTAAAAGCTCGAAAGATTCAATTTTTGTTAATAACAGAGATTCTATCTACTATTCTATTGGTTAAAAACTTACTGAGTAACTATCCCAAGTTTATGATTTCCAAAATATTTAATTGTTTTATAAATATCTTCTCCGACGCCATTAAGTATAAATAAAACAACCTCACAATTTGCTTCTTTCAATTCTTGTAATCGATCATGAATTTTTTGTGGCACAGCTGGATCACTTTTCATTATTGGATTTGGTTCAAAACAAAAACCAAAACGTTCAATAACCTATGATTAGACATAAAAAGAATATATCCTGTTTTTCTTTCAAGATTGATGATTTACAAATGGAAAATGTTCGACAAATTGTTGTGCAATAGATAATTGATATTGATTTGGTTTCTGAGCTGAAACCATAACACAAGCCCATCTTTTAATATGTCGTGTTTTTTGAAAACGATTACGAATATTCCATCTAGAGAAATACAAAATTTCGAAATCTATTCCTAGAAGATATGTAAACTACTAACTTTCCAATATTAATACGTTCAACAACTTCACTGCGTCCATCACGTCCACTTATATATTTTATTTCTGGTGGTGCAATTAATCGTCCTTGAACAATAAGCATTTCTTTATCGTCGACACTCATACCAATTTCTTTTAAATATTTATCTTGATCGAATTGTCGATTGTGAACGATTTCGGCAATGGCTTGATACCTTTGACTTGGTCGGACAACAGTTTTTTTTGTTACCTAAAAATATAAGTTTCATAGAACGAGCGAGAAAAAACAATGGAAAATATTAATATACTCGTGCTCGTTGATCAGTAGTTAATGGTTTGATTGAACGTTGCCACGCTTGTATTGTACAACATTCCATTGGTAAATAATGAAATTGAGTTTTATTCGGAGGCGTATATAATTCTATAATAGAAGTTCAATTTTATTTTTTCCCAAGAAAATGTTGCTTTCTTTTCTCTTACCAACTGTTGGTAAATTCGGATATTGTAATTTCATATTATATTTTTCAAGAAAATAATCATATACGGATTGCCTTTCTTGTATATCATTGTTGTTAGCATCGGTCATACGTGGAAATGTATGTTGACAGGCTGATGCACCAAAACCACGTATACGATACTTTCGTACACTTTCTGTATGATGAGTTTCAAGCCATATGGGTTTAAGAACCTTTCTCAACAATAATTGTTGTTCACGTTCATCGATACCTTAACGTAGATCAATCAAATAAATAAATAGACGAAACAACACTGCATAGATATTACCATCACGAATAATATCATGTTGAAGATATTCACAAAGAAAATCAACTAAATTTAATGGTTGATAAAAACATGTAAATGTTGAATTGATATTCAACGTTGCACCAATTTTAGTTAGAAACATTGCTTGATATGAACCATGCGCTAAACCTCGGCCATCACCTATAACGAAAACAAAAAAAAATCTTTTTTTAAGAATCTATTTGCATTGTAGAATATTTTGAGAATAATGAAAAAATTTCTAACAGCTCAATTAGAGCAATCTTAAATGAAATGGAACTCATAGTTCATGGATGAAGATTTGTACTAAACTTTTCTTGAAGAACAAATCTGCTCTATCATTAAAAACCTAGATCGCAGCCGAATCGAATCTCTTTTTACCTAAGTCGTCGAGTTGTTGATGTCGATCATAAAATTGATTTTTAGCACAAACCATTGTTGCACGTGTAGTTTGTTTAAGAAGCGTTTCAAGAATTCTTATTGGATCTCTTGGACGAATCGGTATTTTATTTTCAATAAAATCCCAAAGAACCTACGAAAAAAATAAAAATTATTTTCTTCTTATAAAAAAAAGAACCAATCGAAATGTAACCTGTATATCATAAGATTTGACAAGATTAATAAGTAATAAGCGATATTTTTGTTCACGATCACTTTTCTTATCTTTAATCATAATTTCATATTGACTTTTTAAATCAACAAGTAATTCTATTGAATAAAGACTTTTTCCTTCGTCATACCAAACCAATGGAAAATGTTCACGATCAATTATTTTTTTCAAAACAAAAAACCGATCATCTTTTTTTGCTGGACGCCATGTACCATCGCGATTTGCTGCTTCTAATTCAATATCATATTGATGACATTTTAATGTTCGAGGTATGTTACATTTAAAATGATTTGTGTACATTTGTAAATTTTGACCAGCTAAAAATAGAAAATTCGTCACGATGAAAGCAATACGAACAATTAAAATTACCTGTTCCACCTCGATCTGGTCGCTTAGCGATTGTTATAACAGATGACTCAGGTACAGCTGAATGAAGCGAACGACGAAATGTTCGTGTTGATCTAGCGCGACCGACTGATGAACGGGATGTTGATTTACGTTGTTGCTCAGAAGATGGTTTACGTCCTGATGATGCACCTAAATTAGTTTTTGTCTCACTGTCCTTGATTTCATGATGAAATTTCTCGGGTAAAACAGCCATCGATTGAGATCGATAGGGCTCAAGTGGACCTGCATCTGGTCGGCTTGTTCTTTCTAAATAAATAATTCAATTGAATGATTTTGTTATATTATTTGTAGACCTTTTTAGTAGGTCTTCAATCACATCAGATTTGAACTTACTTCCGCGAC